CAATCTAACATATCAAAGTCTCTCAAGGAAAGCACAGAGAAAATCGCCATACCATATTAACGGACATCTTAGAAATCAATGCAAGACTCTTCAAACCTTTAGGATTTGACGTCGCACACAAATCAACAAAATCAATCAATTCGTCTGGCTCAGTGTCAACCAAAAGACTCAACAGCGACAGGTGATGAAACCAACATCGGTTGCAAAAACACTATATTTTTCAAAGTAGACGTCTATTTTGTCTTCGTATCCATGATCATAAGCTAGCCATCAAAAGACATGACATCCACTCAATCGCTCATATCGCTGCATACAGAAAACCACGAAGGTCAATTAAACTGGGACAGCGTTCGAATATTAGACAGTGGAAATACCAAGAATTCAAGAGAATTTTTCGAAGCCTGGTGTTCCAGTGAATCGTCAAACAATAGATACATTGACATCGACAAGATTTCCCAGTCCATGAGAACGAGATCTCACACACAAAGGTTCAAAGTTCAGGTCAAGGAAGCAATCAATACCAATACACGCAAGCTAGAGGATGAGAAAATACACTGAAACAACCAATCACGTCCAATGTCAGGTTACCAGGAGAGGTTACCAATAAACTCGTGGAGAAATTGAAGAGCTCAATTCAAATTGAAGCATTCGCTGAGGATGTTGCGTAGTAGGGCTATGCAAGCCTTGCAAATAAACTACCCAGCTCAGAGAACGCAATTACAGCGAAATTCACAAATATATTTGGGTTAAAACTGTTTGATGGTGTTGTTAAAGGTGTACTGGTTAGTGACTTAAGGTTAGAATCTGACCTATGACGCTTATCGAAGGAAATGGATGAAAAGGATCGTGGAAGGAACAACACTGCTTCAGGTGATACACTATCGGTTTAAATTATGGGGTTCTGTAGGGATTTAGGCTAATTTCAGTGTAGATATCCAGTGATCCGTGATTTCTGACTGTCTGAACTCGTGATACAATGTAACCCCCAACTGAAGCCTTTGAATCTCGCTGAATTCACGTTGACATCACGGAACCCACTGGTCAGGACTTCTCAGTTCAGCTTCAGAATATCCATCCACTAGGCATCAATGAGCTGGAGACTAATATTGAAATTGTGGGTATAGTTCAGTTTCATAGGTCAATAAATTCCGACTCAAGTGTCCGTATTTACAGAGAGCTTCGTATGATAATCTTATAGTTCCCGTTTTAATCCCTGGCGTCGACTTGGTTCTTCGCTGCAGGAGAGTCGCAGACTAAGATGGAATAGATGCCCAGTGTTCCCTGGTTTTCATTGGTCTCTGAATGACTGAATTCTTGACGAAATCAACATTGAAATATCGGCGAATATTCGGTTATGTTAAGATTCTGCATAAGGTTAAATAATCATACAGTGAAACAAGCTTAAGAATCTGTATTGTGTTCTGGTTTAGGAGTCTTCAGTGGTACGCACTCACTTAGATTCGAACCCGGAACCTTAAGATCAAAAGGCTGGGAATGTTGACCATTCAGCCATTGAGTCTCAATCCCGGTGACAACTAGTGAGCCGACCTGTAACCAATCTAATTTCTGCAAACCAACACTTAATATTTGCATTAAATATTTCTGAAACTGGTTTGATATTCAAGTATTGGTTTGCAGGGGTTTGACTGATTGGTTACAGAAATTCCTCATGATTTGACACTGGTTAGAGAAGTACGATGAAACAGCTGTACAGCACTACGAGGTAGGTTTCCCAATGGTTCTCTAGCCGATACCAGTTCATGATGAAATCTCGTAACCAATCATTCAGATCCCTACAAACCAATACTTGAATATCAATGAGATACTCACTAGCGATTGGCCCTATTCAGGTAGGTAGTAGTTACCTGACGTCCTAGTGGAAAGTCGTGACCAGTAGAGTGCAGCAAGTCGGGTGTGAGGACAAATACTCGCCGACACTGACATTGGCTAGTGTTTGCGCTATGTCATGAATTGGCAGAGAAGTTGAAATTCATGGTTGAGATCCCAGTTACTTAATGGTCCACAAGCTCGCCTTAAAACCAGATCGTCCTGGGTTCGAACTGCAGTGTGTGAGTACTGTGAGCAGTCTCAAGCTGGGAAGAAACAGCTGTTCAGTACTCCCTGTTGGTTCTACACTGGTTTTCTAACCGATGTTAGCTCATGATGAAATCCTCTAACCAATCTGGTTTGAGTTGTCACTCATTCACCCATCTCTTTGGAAAAATTAACTCAAATAAAAACTTCTGAGGACATTAGAGGGTATTGAGGTGGTTTTGGGTTTTTCAGTTGAATTAAGCAGTTTTGGAGTTAACTTTTGGGGAGTTTCAGTGTTTCTAAGGCTTTGGCGACGTGTCTTAATTCCCCAAACATTTTACATTGTGTCGCCTCAAAAACTCCCAAATCTACCGAAAATTTCTTTTGTGAGTAATTAGCTAAATCCAGCTTGGTAAATAATAAATTATGAGCTGAACCATTGAAAAACCAGCGAGTACTGGATAGCTGTTTCGTGCTAGTTCGGAACACTTGAGTGGTTCGCACCTACCAGGATGCTAACTCATGACCTTCTGATTACTAATGGAAAAAGTGTAATTATTTCATTTTATCTTAAATTTATTACAAACATAAAATATTTCACATTTTCATTGTTCACTTACAAGTCCTGTCCCATAGTAGACACCAATTGAAACAGCAAAAGTTACAACCATGACAGTAACACAGTATATGAAAACTGCAGTGTAACCACGGTACAGATCAATTGGTAGTGTTGCACCTATTGTGATTAGTAAGATGTACAACACCACAGCTGATCCCGTCACTATAAGTCCCCATTTAAGCGTTTGCCCAATGAACGGTATTCCTGTGAGTACAGATGCTAATATCGTCTATAAAATAGAAAATCGTAATGTTTGAGTATACTTGAATATTATTTTGATCAAAAAATATTCTGTCTGTCACCTTATCATTAATTGTCATTCTTGATGTGCCTCAGGGGGACATCTGGCTTCAAGCGTTTTGGACGTTTTGCGAAGCTTTCATCAACCTACTAGGTGACATCCTCGCCTCAGTGCATACTTCAATTTGAAGTGAGCTTTTAGACTTCTCCACGAGTTTATTATCCATCACTCCTGGTGACCTTGAACGTCGTGATTGGTTGTTTTTGTGTGTTTTCACAACCTCTAGGCTACTTGTATTGAAACTGATTGTTTCCTTGACTTGAACTTCGACCCTTTGTGTGTGTGAGGTTTCCTTCTTATCGATTGGTAAATTTTGTTTATTTCGATGTGTCTACGGATTGATGAATCACTTGTATACCAGGCAGGCTTCCAAAAATTCTCTGCCATTCTTGGTATTTCCTCTGTCTAATATTTGAACGTTGTCCCAGTTGAATTGATGTTTGTGGTTGTCCGTATGTACTGATATGAGAGAGTGGATGTCATGTCACGGCATTAACAACCGATAAGAAAGAAACTTCACACATAAAGTTCAAGCCAAAGAAACAATCAGTTCCAATACAAGTAGCCTACAGGGTACAAAAACAAACGAAAACAACCAACTACATTTAAGGTCAGGTCACCAGGAGAGGTGACTTTTAAACACTCGTGGAGAAATCTAAACATCACTTCAACGAATTGAAGTATCCGCTGAAGATTTCGCCTAGTAGGGCGATGAAAGCTTTGCAAATAAACTATCCAGCTCAGAGAACACAACCACATGAAAATCATGCAACTGAGCTACAAATCTTCTCCATCATATCTATAGGGTAAGGTTGCTAGACTCACCCTCAGCCTTCCCTCTGTCCCAGAGTTACTATCTCCTGGCAAGCTGAGTGATGCTCCTAAAGGGTACCACACAGGAATCAAATCCGGATCTTCCGTGTGACTGCCGATCATTTCATCACCGAACCACTGACACAATCTCCATATCATGGCGCGATACCTTGAATGAAGTGTTGGTCGGGAGCGATTCTATGCGAGCACTTATGACTTTTAACCAGCCTTCATCATGATTGTTGTCCTAATATGGTGTCACATTCTGTTTTAGTGAATAATGCCTCAGATGTCATCCAGAATTGTTAGTCACATTAAAACGGAATATTTTGATGTGACTAAGGAATTTCAGTGATGTGAAACATTCCTTGGAATATAACATAGTTCTACACTCGATATATATCTAAAAAGCCAGCTGATATCTCAAAATTAATTTCATGCAAGTGTATTGCCAGTTTCGATTGTATGATTGTCAGTTATACACTGATACTGTGGATTTTTGACTTTAAAAATGATTGCGAATTGGAATGACTAATCCTTCACAGTCTAGAACTTGATTGTTGTAAATTTCTAACATCAACTTATTTATGAATTATCAAAATCTCATTGATTTACTTTCCCGCTGACTGACTGAAACTAAATGCTTGACTTCAGGTTGAGATGTTGGCTCCTTGTGTGTAGATGTTTTGGCGATATCTGAGGATCAATTTCAAGCAATTTGGTGAATAGTGACTAGTAGTGGAATCCAGGAGTCGCACCTCGTCCACTTTGGGACTCGTCAGTTAGACGCATCTGTATTCCGCAGTGAGTGATGGTGACGCTACTGAAGCTCAATCCCAGTAATCGTAGTTTCAAACACCAGAGCGCTACCCATTAAACCATTCGGGCCATGAGAGCTACCTACTGTGCAACGGGTGTCAGCAGTTATTCAATTTAATTTGGGAAAACTATGACTGTGTAGGGAATGCAAATACATCCAGTTGATGAGTCGTAACTAGGACGAAATGCTGGTCATGGATTCCCCTACTAGTCACTATCCATGAAGTATTTCTCAGAACTATCTACTTTACTGCGAGCAAGCTGAAAAATATATTTCCCAAAGTTCCCTTCAATTGGTATTATTATGACTAATCAAATATTTGGAGATATTAGATGCTTCAGATATTACTAATCTAACAAAAGTTATATATATATATAAATGTTTGCAAGAATAATAAATTTATACATTCATACATGTAACATCAGAAAGAATAAATCTAATGGAAATTTTGTTCCCGTCGTATCTAATGTGAAGAAGAGAACCAACACTATCGCCTCAACAAGCCCACTGAAATGAAGAGAAATCAGGGAATGTCTATATCGGATATATGATTGATAAAAAAGAACATGAAATTAAGAATAAACATTCATGAATTAAATGATTTTGTATGAATAATGTTGGGGTGATCCTGTTAACTTATTATCAGAGTTGCTTTGGATTCCACTGTGTTATGTATGATTTATGTTGCCAGTTGAAATGAACTTGTCGCCAATTGATATGATAGCGTTGACACCTGGTTTGACCAAGTGGACTCATACACGTGGGTACGGTACTACCAACGCAATGAGCAACTCAGCTAATCTGATAAGTACATGTATTCACCCGTGCTACCTTGCGGTTCACTGAGCCAAGTAAATAGGAGAACAAAAGAATGACCTGTGTGACTGTTAGGATACAATTTTACTAGGGAATCACTAGTCATATTTATATATCTTTTGTCAACACAATAAAATCCGCCAAGGGCAGCGGAAATGGATTGTTCTGATTAGTAGGCGATTCAGCTAACGTTGGCGACAAATTAATACTCTGATTGACTGGTGATTTGACCAAGATTAAGGTAAGAAAGGGATGATGACATTCGACAGTCAACCAATCACACGATGAATTCTATGATGATTTCTGTTTTAAGACGATTCCTATGACCCTGTCTGATGTTATACATCCTTCGATTCGCTAACTATTACACAGAAGAAAACCTCATGCAATCGTCTACATGCCAACAGATTATGGAAACGCCAAGGGCTATGTAGTAGTCTTGCAGCTAATGAAGTGCTTGACTTAGGAGAGTGCTTCCATTGCCCGCTTTTGAGAAGTTTTCAATGAATCACCTAACTTGCGCATATAATTATTATACTCTTATTCGAAACGAAAACTGCGAATCTATGCGTCTCAGTGTTTTAATATTTCACATGATTTATCGCGATTTATTATCTGAGAATGCGTTGTATTTTGTGGCGATATGGACTGCAAAATGCATCATCGTTAATTTGTAGAGCATACCACTTTCATTTCATTCCATGAGTTCTTTGGAAACATCTGAAGAACTTTGGCCAACTCATGCGTTTTCCTGTATTCCGACTGGAGATTTATTACTGTGAATATTCATTAAGTAGTTACAAGAGCCATGCGTCTTGTCTATCTTTTGATGCAAAGTGAATTCTACCAGATACGTTTGTAATGTGGTCATCAATTTAGGTGACTCACTATCGTGATTCACTCTGAAATGTTGATAGATAGTTGGAAACAGTCGGCAGGAAGCCACGGACCTCAGTTTCATGTTTGTTGGCACTCATCAAATGGACATTTCCGAAATCTTAGATTAGCTCACTTTCTCTCGAAGATTCAAACCCGTGTCACTGAGTGCTGCAGTTAGTGACGTTGCCAGTGAACCTTACTGATGAGTCATAATAAGTACGAAATCTAGATCCAATGTTTCTTGCCAATATCCACCAGTCATCTGACTTCAATTCAAGGATGTATTAGGCTAAGTGAAGTTTAACAATCATGTTCAGTCGAAAACAAGCCAAATTTGTGCTAAAACTTTTGAAAGATCAAACTTGAGTTTCAGAGAGTGTGATGCTCTTTCCATTAGCTGTTTCTTTCATCGAAGTTAGACAGCTCTCAGATATGCATATCGTTCTCTGTCTTGTAAACGACTGAACACTTCACTTTCATCTATTTCCGTCTAACGTGATATCATGTTTAAAGTATAGTTTACAAAGGATACTTAAACACAAACATCACTAAGCTTGAGACGTCAGTATCACAAATCAAGTGAATCTATGTTCTGACAGAAACATTAAAATCACTCTATAAAATAAAACATTAAAAGAAAAACATTCTGAAATGGTAAATGCATTGGAGGGCAAATTCTCAGTACACAATGATGGATAGGAGGTAAATCGGCAGCGAAGTTGATTCCGTTTTTGGTCTGAAAAGTAAGCAGTTAGTTATTCTGGTCGACCTACATAAGTGTCATTGCAAGTGGTATGGGTGTTGTGATGATGGACATCAGAATAACGAATAATAATACCTGTAATTAGCGGGCAACTTCATCAAGGCTTAAGTTGGCTTACTCTTTTCGTGTACTTATCCATAATTTTTTGAATTGTAACGTATATATTCAATGCTCTTCTAATACTCTTCTTATCTCCACTGACAATTCTATCAAATTCTGGAATGATGAATAAATTGATGTTCATTTTTGGAATAAAAGTGTATACTACTGATTGATTGTAGTGAGTAATCGCTTAACACTCATATCAACTAGCAGTGCTTGCTAGTTAGGTTGAGGTGATCAAACCACCGAAAAGCCGTTCTCCTCATTTGGGACCATGCTCATCAGCGGTGTATCCAGTTTGACTCATCTCATACAGCCGAATCAATTCAAACCACTGGATCTCCGAATAGCTACTTAGGCGAACTGGTGTTATCACAAGTCAAATTTGCCTCTTCTATGTGTGTCTACCAGTTTGACTGCAGCTGAGGAGCCAGCTACATTGAGCGTACAATTAGGCAGTTTCATCGTCGTATTTCTGAACATCATCCAGCGTGGTTAAGCAAGGGACAAACAAGATTTATTCGTAGTTCTATTTTAGCACACTTTGTTGATACTGAGCATAAGGTTGATGTGAATACTGCATTTAAAATTATTTTTCGCATTCCGACTAATCTTAACTTTGCTCTACGAGTTCGTCTTCTACAGACAGCTGAAGCAATCGGAATCCACCAGAAGAAACCAAGCCTATGTGTACAGAAGAAATTTGTACAGCCACTTTCCTTACCGTGACCATCGTTACAAGATAAGACAGTCTCTCTTCCCCTCCCCCTAAACCTATTAAATTATAATTGTCCAAATTATTTTATTTTTATTTTGACCATTTCATCTTTAATTACGTGTTATCCTTGTAAAATTAATTTATTCTATCCATTTCTACCTTTTAAATTTGTATTGATTTTCTTCGTTAATTATCAACCCCGTTGACATTTTGACACTGTTTAATTATTGTTAACAAACATATCACCACTAGTTTGGTAAATTGTTGTATATTGTTAAAAATGCTATATATATTAGAGAAAAGCCAGAGATGAGGATCTAATTGAAAAGTAAATATTTCTTCGCTCAATCTTTCTGTTTTCCACAAGTCAAATTCACACTTTGGCATGACCAGTTCGCTGAAGTAGCTAGCCGGAGATCCGGTGGTTTGAAAAGATTTGGCTCTGTAAGATGAGTCAAACTGGGTATACCTCTGATGAGCTCAGCCTGAAAATGAGCGATACAGCTGTTCTGTATTTTAGGATCACTTCGAAGTGGCTACAAAGCAATATTTACTCATGCGAGAGATCAACAACTACTAATCTCAGCAGATATGCTTGTTATCTTGATGATCATCTATGGGGTCAAACAGATCACGTACTGTGGTGATCTGACTAACTTGATTTCCAAAGGAAACTACAGTGAAATTTCACCTCTTGAACTGTGTAGATAGCAAATTGCAAACCAATCTGACATTTGTGAATTTGACTTCTAATGAAAGTGAATGTAAGCCTCAATAGAAGTACTGGTAATCATGAGAATTTAAAATTATGGGGAAGAAAATATTTCCATTCTCCAATATCTTTGATTGGACACTAGTTAGTAACTAGTGTGATGTGTCTAGTCCTTTCTTTGGTGCAAACTGATTTCTATCAGTCAGTCAGGTGTGAAATGTGGCCACCATTCTAGGTAGCTCGCCAACATGGTGCACACTGATTTGATGATATTAGATGGTTAGAATTCAGTCTGCACCATAGAGAGGACTAGACACTTCATACTAGTTACTACTCTCCATTCAAATTATCCCCTACAGTCCTACAGGAGGTCAATCGCGAGCCAGGCCGAATAACTCAGTGGTAGCGTCTCTGACTGCAGCTCCCACTGGGTGAAGCAGTTTCGAATCTCAGAAAGGACGTGAGTTCCTTCAAGGCTCCAAGGCTTCCTTCCGATTCCCTCCAACTATCTCATTCTCCAAAATTATCAATAAATAAACTAAACAACATTGAAGAAGAAGTTTTGGTCATTTCAGTGGAATATAGTTCCATATAAGGCAAGTACACCTGATATAACCACAGAGTGATACAGTAATGTTAACTGTATGATGCATTCATTCCGCTTAAATCTCAACATACCTCTAAGTTCTTCAAGGACGTAAATTCAATAGTAGGTGAATTTCAGTTTACTTTTAACTCAGAAAATCAACAGAGTGAGCTGTCTATCCCAAACTGGCTAGTTAGATACCAGCATCTATAAGAAACAACCTCGCCTAGATTACTAGGTCACTAGTATTCTAGCCGGTCCCAAGCCCGGATAAAGAGGGAGGGTTGGGGCGTGGTGCTAGCAACTCCACCCCCAAAACTTAACCAAATTGCTACTAAAACTTCAACGCACAAATATATTAAAAATTCTAAAAATACAAACAATAACCTTATTTTTCGCTGGAATCGGGGAAGTGAAATGACGCAGGCTGGTGAAAGCCTTCGGGAAGCCAGTCAGCCGATGTGCCTTCTTTCCATGAAAGCGAAAATAAGGATGGGGACGTGGAATGTTCGTACAATGTACGAAGCTGGGAAGGCTGCTCAGGTAGCCGCAGAAATGAGGAGATATAAAATAGAAGTGTTGGGAATCTGCGAGAGCAGATGGAACGGATGCGGAAGGTGCCAACTACCAACTGGAGAGACAATAATCTACTCCGGTCACCCAGAGGACGATCACGGGCACACCGAGGGAGTAGCCATCATGATGTCACCAACAGCGGCTAAAGCTCTCATGCAGTGGGAACCAATCTCCTCCAGGATAATGACAGCCAGGTTCAACTCAAAAGGAAAGAAGGTTACAATCATTCAATGCTACGCGCCTACAAACGTCTCAGAAAAAGAGAAGAAGGAGGATTTCTACAGTCAACTACAAACAGTAATGGACAACGTCCCAAAGAGCGATATCAAAATCCTGATGGGCGACATGAATGCGAAACTGGGAGGAGACAATACAGGAAGAGAACTCACCATGGGTCGTGAGGCCCTCGGTGAAATGAACGAAAATGGTGAACTCTTCTCAGACTTCTGCGCCTTCAATGATTTGGTGATTGGTGGCAGTGTGTTCAAACACAGGGATATACACAAGGCAACATGGATTTCACCAGATGGACACACCAAAACCAGATAGACTTCATTTCAATCTCAAGGAAGTGGAGACGGAGCCTACTGGACACAAGGTCGAGGAGAGGAGCAGATGTGGGTTCAGACCACTATCTAGTACAAGGGACATTCAAGGTGAAGCTGAAAGCCTCGAGGATACCTGGGGATAGGCCACAGTGTAAGTTCAACACGCAAAAACTGAAGGACACAATCACACAGGACATTTTCACTGCAACTGTCAGAGCAAAGCAGGAAACACTACGTGGCACCACCGAGGAATCATCCGTGGAAGACCATTGGAACTCTCTGAAGGTAATTTTCAACGAAACGTGCTCAACGGTTTTAGGAAGAAAGAAGAAACAAGACAAGGAATGGCTCTCAACGGACACTTGGAAGCTAATAGAGGAGAGGAGAAAGGTGAAAGAGAAAATGATTCAATGCAAAGATGGACAAGAGAAAGAGACGCTGAGCTCAACTTACACAGCACTGGACAAAGAGGTGAAGAAGAGTGCCAGGAAGGACAAGAGACAATTCTACGACAACCTGGCTACTGAAGCTGAGAAGGCAGCAGGCAAAAGGGACCTGAGGACACTATATCAGATAACCAAGTCTCTATCCGGGAAGAGATCAACACAAGTGAAACCTATAAAAGACAGCCAAGGGAACCCAATTACCAAAGAAGAAAGACAGATTAAACAATGGGCGGACCACTTCAAAGGAATCTTGAACCGACCACCACCTACAACCCGTCCA